CGATAACTAAAACAGTACGATATTCTTTCTTTGGGATCTTAAAACCCTGAATATTGAACTTTGTTTGCCTCTACCCTCTCAATGTCGGACCCTGTTGGGAGTGATAGTGGATTATGATCAGTCATTTGCTCTATTGTTTTCCATTGTATATATAGAGACGTTGGATAGATAAGTAATTGTGCATTGATTATGTACTTATCTTGATTAAAAAAAAATTATAAGTCAAATAAATAAACAAGGGTATAGTATTAGAAAGAATTTTTTGATATTATATCCAAAAAAAAAATTGTAATCACAAATCTTTCCTTGATTTAGTTTTGAAAATATTACTAATAAATATTACTTTTCCTCACAGACATTCATTAAGTCCTATCTGATGATGCACAAAATTGGTTTGCAAATCACCTATCAATTAAATAATATAAAATAGTAAAATAGAGAGAGAGAGAAGATCAAGTTTATAGTGGTTCGGTTAAGGTGACCTACGTCCACTTGGAATGGCAAGGGTCACCGGAATTTTATTAACTCTAGTGCAGTGGGAGAGCATAAGATTACAAGTTTTCAGAGAGAATAAGAGAATTATGCTCAAAATGAGTGAGATATCCCCCAAGTGTTGGTGGGGCTTACAATTTATAGTGATTTAATGTAGTAATTGAATAGCTAGTCTGCTGGTCATAACGGGTTGAGGTCGTTTAATAGTCATAACGGATTGTGGTGACTTTACAGTAATTAAATAGCTTTGTGACCTCTCCTCTTCTCAACAGGCAAGAAAGTTGTGATGTTCTCCAAAGGACTTGGTCAAAGGATGAGGGAAGATTGACTCTCTCCAAGCGGCAAGGGTGAGGCTCCTAGATGCTCCCCTTGGTGGCGTAGCTCCTTAATGGGCTTGACTGGCTTAAACCCTTACTCCAAGGTCATAGATGAGGCTCTTAGATAACTCTTACTCCAGGGTGATAGAGGAGGCTTTTAGATGACCCTTACTCCAAGGTGGTAGATGTGGCTCTAGATGACCCTTGCATACTCCTTACTGATGTAGCTCCTTGAGCTTGATGAGCTTGACCTGATTGACCACATTGAGCTGGACTTGCTGAATATCTTAGAGATGAGCTATAAGCTCGGACCGGGATTATAACATGAGTTGGGGCCTTGGACTTGACCTATTACTATCATTTTTGTTTTATATCAATGAAGTCTTAATCTTTATATTTTATCTCATAAAGTCCTAAATTTCATAAAGACTATATTTTATTTCAATTGTATCCTTCTATTGACATATATTGACCCGTATGACTCTTTTGGTTGACGTATTAGAAATGAATGGATTAGATAAAGTAATCCAATCTAATACAATAAAAAAAACAAAATATAAGATTAAATGGAGTATTAGAATAATATATAATTTTATCTAATGTTTACCAATACACAATATAAACGTTGTATGGTAGTTATTTAATCTAATCGGTTGTTTAGTTAGGAATTTATTTCATCGTATTAATATTAAATTAACAAAAATACCATCAATCAGTGTTTGTTACATTGATGACAACTTGATTTTATCAGTTATGAGGTTATAATAATAAATGTGAAGAATAATATATTTAAGTTGAATTATAGTACCACCTCTATTTGTGGTATGAAAATAACTCTATAATACAGGTCTATCGTATAAAAAATATATAATAAATATACGATTTTGAAATTAATACGGTATTAAATTTGCTTACCAAATAAAGTATTAGACTCAATTAAATCCCATATTTAATCTCTTCATAATACGTCAACCAACCACATGCTTATAAGGTATTGGATATATAATAACATTAGTCTGTCTTTTATTAATACATTCCCTCAACTTCTTGGGGTTTTAAATTATGTATTGCCTACTTGATAATTTTATGAAAAATCTAATTTACTAATAATTTTTAAAATTGTCATTATGAGATACAACAAAAAGTTATGGATCTTATGTATTCTTGATGAACAAAAAATTCACGACAAAAACTCTATGACTTTGTGATTTTAGAATCGTGGTTGAAGTGAATATTAATACCTAAACAAAAATTAAGCATCCATATATCTATGATTGTAGCTTCAATAAAACTCGATAATTATTTATTAAAAAAAGTAACTTAACTCATATAAAAAAGGATGACGACTGATTCACTCTCAAAAAATATAAAATTGAGTTAAATAACAGTTGATATATAATCATAATTAACAATCTAATTAATGTGTTTGTGATTAATTTTTATACTGTCGTCACAATACGTGTAGGTTGTGTGTGTTTGCTGTGTGTCTAAGCAACACTGAAATAGGGCAAGGGGAGTTAAAATGGGATACTAGGATTATGATTGTGTTGTCGTCAGTGATGGCTGAGTCCATGGTGTTGCCAGGCAGACAGAGCTAAGGGGAAGAGAAGCCAAAGAGAGAATGCGAAAGGTCGCCAGAGGAAGGGAAAGAGAAAGAAAGGGAAGATAGATGTAAGAGACATAGAGAGAGGGAGGGGGTACCAGGAGAATAGGGCATGGTTTTATTATCGATCGTGACTGGCGTTAAGGGTTGCAGGCTTAGATTTGGCAGTAACTAGGCAAATGCGAGAGAAAGATGAAAGAGAAGGGCAAGGAATTGAGGAGAGAGGAGAAAGAGCTATGAGGGGAGGGGAGAAAAATTAGAGGGGCGAGGGGCAACAAATGTGGCATAGAGATTTAGGGTTGCAAACAACAAATTTGGAAAAAATTCAAAAATAAAAAAATATGAATTTTAAAGACAAGATTAAATTTTTCAAGGATTAATCTAGTGCGTTGGATCAATAATTATGAAACTATCTAAGTCGTTAAAAATTTGAGATAAGTTGAGATAACCACATCGGTCAGATGATGCTTTGTTTTAACTTGAAAACGATCTATGAAGTTTTTTGTATTTGAATTCAAAAACAACTCTAATTTATTTTATAGATACATGTATGTACAAAAGCACATCATTCATATATTAAAATTCATATGATACCCTATTATTACATAATAAAAAATTTTATTTTTGCTATTATGACAAAATTAATTGTTTAGTTGAAAACGTTATTCAAATAACATTATCAAATGCTATCTTAAGGTTTATCATCTGTCATTAATCTACAAATAATTTTTTAATAAAACATCATATTATAGAAATTAAGTTACATACATATGTATTTTACTTAGAGCAATACTATAGGGACTTAATTTAGAAACTTAATCATAGATTTAATTTAATACAACTATTGAATTAGTTATGAGTTTTAATGTTGTATAGAACTCACTTTCAATTTAATTGTTGCATTAAATTAGGCCACCAAATTATATCCTTAAATTAAGTTCAAGTATCATTTTCTTTTTACTTATCTCGAATGTCTTAAATTTCTATTATGTTATGTGCCTCGTCAATAGAAATAAGCCTTATCTAAGTGGAAAAGAACTTGTGCACTTGACTTTCAATAAATAAGATCAAATTCTTAATATATATTACACATAGGACTTGTTTGATTGCGTATTAAAATGGATGGATTAGATGAAATAATCCGGTCTAATACAATACAGAAGGACAAAAGACAAAACTAAATATGATATTAGAATAATACATAATTTTATCTAGTGTTTGGTAATATACAACATAAATGTTGGATAGTAATTATTTAATCCAATCGGTTATTTGGTTAATGAATTATTTTATCGTATTAATGTTGAATTAACAAAAATACCCTCAATCAGTGTTTGTTACATTGATGACAGTTTGATTTTATCAGTTAGAGGGTTATAATGGTAAATGTGCAAAATAATACGTTTGAGTTTGATTATAATACCATCTCTTTTGGTGGTATTAAAATACCTCCATAATACAGGTTAACCTATAAAAAATATACGATAAAGATATGATAAGTATACGTTTTTGAAATTAATACGGTATCAAATTTACTTACCAAACATAATATTAGGTCCGATTAAATAAAAAATAATAAAATCTAATATTTAATCCCCTCATAATACGTCTACCAAACGAGCCCATAGTTTAGTTTTTAACTGCATTCTAGTGCAGCAACTCAATACATGAGCCACCCCCCCCCCCTCCTCAATACAAGGGGTAAGAAAATTTATACATGTATAACTTGTGAAAAAAGAAGCACAAACTAGATATATGTGATTGTTCCAAAGTGTTTATTAGTGATTAATTAATTAATATAATTAATAAGTTTTTTGAACTAACTGATGACGTTTGAATCTTATCTGTGCTTTGCGTTGGTTCGTTTAGTCACTATGTTAAGTATACTAGCCCATGTTAAAATCTCCAAGGCCATGTACACGTTCTAGTGAATTGAAAACTTATTCATAGACATTATGAGAGCTTCTAGAGAAAAAGTAATTGAAAGATTGTTATTGTATTATTGAAGGATTTAAAATCATGTCTAAAATTATTTTTTTTTTCAAATTTTTTTAATAAATCATTCACCATTAGTGAATTAAAGACTCAATTATATACAATGAGTCTAATGTGAATTCATAGTAACAGTAATTTGCGGAGAATGGAATTAAAGAAAAAATGAATTAGAAAGGATGTCACTCCACTAATGAGTGCTGATTTAAAATCCTAAATGAGAAATACATATCACAGAATGATTATCATTTGATTTTTATTAAATTATAAAGTCTAGGAAACAAGAAAATCAAATTACTCAAGTGGCATTTTCGTGTTATATTCCAAAATCAGGGGCAGTTACACGAATATTCCTGGTTGAAGCTCGCATCTGCCTCCAACAATTCCGAATTAAACCCTCCGCAGTGGGCACAGGCTAAACTAAAAAAAAAAAAAAAAAACAAATTCCAAGTATATGACCTTTTTGCTTTCCTTTTGCATCTTCCTCTGCAATCTCCGAGACAACGAGTCGCAGGTGTCATATATATATATATATATATATATAGAGAGAGAGAGAGAGAGAGAGAGAGAGAGGAGATTATTGGATACAGAGAGAGATGTGGCGGTGCGTGTCTCGTGGCCTTGGCATTTCTTCAAAGAGATCCATCTCCGGCGAATCCCTCAGACCTCACTTTAGTAGACTCTTCTCCACTCAATCAGTACGACCTCTCCCCTCGCTTGTCAATAGTCATGAGCTCGAATCTTATGGTTTTAATGCTATTCTCGATTTATATCTCTCGTAGATTTTATTTGTTCTTAATTCTTGCTATTGATGATTAGAGGTCTCATCATTTTGGTAACCGATTTTCTGTTTAATTGCTTATTCCCTATATACAACTGATTGATTTCAGCGTTTTTTAATGTATACTTGTATTTGTAAGTCTAACGACTGAACTCTATAAATTGTATGAATCGCAGTCAGTGATTTTCTTTCTCTAATTCGTTTGTAGCAGAATGTGGGAGGTTCGTCATACACAGTGGTTATCATACGTACGATGCAGTTGTGGTAGGAGCTGGCGGTGCTGGGCTCAGAGCAGCAATAGGGCTGTCTGAGCATGGTTTCAACACTGCTTGCATTACCAAGCTCTTCCCCACTCGTTCACATACCGTTGCAGCTCAGGTATGTTAACTTCTGGGCTCTGAATAAATGTGTGGGCCAATTTATCTAATTGTTCATGCATGTGATATATTATCCACTTCTGTTCTCTGAATTTTACACGAGTGTAAATGTTGCTCTCTGCTGTGAATATGCAATCCAATGCGTGCTTAAGTTGATATAACTATGATTTTGTATTGGATTTTGGAGCTATGAAATTTGAAGTCATATAAAATCCTTTGTTGTGTAGCAATATTAGGTTGCATTTCAATGTATGCATTTTGAATAAAGTCATAATTTTTTTCTTTTTCTTTTCTCCTTTTTTTATGAATAGGATTTTATTTGAAAGGAATGGATGTGAAGATCTAAAACAATGGGCACATAAAATGATAGGAACAAATAAGAAGGCTAAAGGAATAAATAGGCTAAGAATGATGCTTGTGCAACTAAATTTCTCGTGCATGAAATTCAAGCAACTCCAATCACCTCATCATTTCAACTAGACCCTTAGAAGGCTTTTGATTTTATTAACTTCATTACATGAGGTCACTGGTTGATTGTTTTGCGGTAAACTACTTCAAGTAATGGACTCAAACCCGTTCATTTGCTTACCAAAAAAAAAACCTGTTCATTTCAATTGCCTATATCAAAAGGCAGCCTTTTCTTCCTTCTACCTCAATTTGCTGGAACATGATGATTGCTTTTCAGAAATCCAACTTAGATTATTAGTTGCTTCATATATATAGTGGGAGATCAACGTGTTGAGCTGTCTTCTCAATGTCTTCTATTAGAAACATTTATATTTTATGCAAACATGAGGCATTGTGTGTTCCTTGTGTTCTTACTAATCAAAATTTGTTCTATTGCAGATGTAAACTTGTTACATATTTGGTATACATTTACCATATCTGACTTTTCAGCATATATTTTTATTTGATATTTTTCCTTCTGGACTCTTCATGGACAGCAATAAACTTTACCTCAACACTGCAGAATCTTTGAAGACAATCCCTTGTTTGTGCATTAAATTATTATGAAAAAACAGTGCTTTTTATATTCAGTCTATCCTTACTACCTAGAGTTGACTTATATATAGTGCTTTTCTCTTGGTATCAGAATTTATGTGTCGTGGATTGTTGGGTTTGTAAAGTTATTCATCAGGGATCCACTTTGGTTTCACCTTCAGTTTTGACAACTATGACATCTGATTGTTTTATTTTTGCAAATTTATCGCATCTAGCTGCATTGGCTTAGTGCAACCATGTTTTGCTCGTTTGGGCAGAAGTTGGATATGTTTACTTTAATCTTGAATGTTGAAACTTATGCAGGGTGGAATAAATGCTGCATTAGGAAATATGACTGAGGATGATTGGAGGTGGCACATGTATGACACTGTGAAGGGAAGTGACTGGTTAGGTAAAATGCTTCTGAAAATTAGACACTCTTTTGCTACTAGTTGGTGGGCATAAAAGCGAATTGACCTTCATGAATTGTTTTATTTCTAATCAGTCTTGGGAGAATATTTGGGGATCTAGTTGAGCTACTTTGTTGTGATGTTCTTTTTCCCTGTATTTCCTTTTATCTTTGTTAAGTGTAAAGGATTAACACAATATATTGAAGAGGAATAGAGAGAGGTCAAAAGCTTGACCTAGTTCTCATATATCATTGTATTTATAGTTAACTTACAATAATAAGAATGTCAATTTTCTTTAATTTATATTACACATCTAAACTATTTACAAAGGCATTGTGTACATATATAGATAGATTTGATACTCTATTTTTGACTATACATCAATTTGGTCTAGAATCATGCTTGACCGATTCCTATTATCTCTCTGTTTTAATTCTTGATTGACAACTCATGCCAACACACTCCCCCTCAGGTGGAAGCATTCAAATCTTTGATGCGCAACTTGTCTAGTGAGTTGTAGAATTCTTTGCTTGATACAGCCTTTGTAAGAACATCTGTCAGTTGGTCTTCAGATTTCACAAATGGAAACCGAATTATTTTAGCTGCTAGATTTTCTTTAATAAAGTGTCTGTCAATCTCCACGTGTTTAGTGCGATCATGCTAGATAGGATTGTGGGCAATAGCAATTGCTGCCTTATTATCACAAAAGAGATCCATCTCGGAGGTAGGGGCAACAACCCAATTTCTGTAACGAGTCTTTTGAGCCATAGAAGCTCACAAAAGTCCTTTAGCCATTTCAACGGATATTCTGCTTCAGCACTTGACAATGCC